TTTTTTTTTTCGCATGATAAGTTGACAGACATTTGGAATACAGGGGAGCTAAAGTTATTAATTTTGATGTGTTATTTTCGTGTTATTAAAACTAGTTGAATGATAGTTGCAGAAAGGAGCGGAAAGAACCGAAAAGCTTAACTAATTGACGACTGTTAAAAGCTAACAAATTGATGAAGTAACATCAAGTCTTTGTACTTTTAATGAAGTAAAGCTGATTGTTATAAAGTGTATCTGTTAATCTTTCTATCTGTGGGCTAATATTTTCTTCTAGCCTTTTGTCATTTTTTTACTTTCTGTAACAATAACGGGTTACTTAAAACTTATTTCTAATATTATTTCTTCTTTTTCATTGCTGCTGCTAGTATTGTCTTTAAACTTACTGAAAAAGGTAAGGATATTTAAGAGTTATCTTTTACTTTCTAGGAGGAAAGGCTGTTTAACATTAACGGGAAGAATATTGACGAGGGAAAAAAAGAAGACAAAAAAAAATGAATTCAAGTAAAAACAGAATTAGTGAATACAAACTGAGTTTTATCAAATTGAACAGTAATCGTTGGGGAACTTTCAACCAGTTATTGCTGTTTTTTTGCTTTTTACTGCTTTATCGATGTTTAATATACACCAGATTTATTTCTTTATCTTATAACCTTGTGAATAATAATGTTATATTATCAAATCTTTCTGTTTTTTTTCTTTAATTTTGGATAACTTTGTCTGACGGAACTCGTTGATGCTGCCGCTGTAGCATCTAGAAAGACAAAAAACTTTCATTGAATGTAATACATAATAAAAAGCTGTTGTTTATTTTCCTTTTTTTTCTTTTATTTGAAAATAATTATGATGATTATACAGAAATAAGAAAAAAAAAGCTAAGCAAATGACAATGATTAATAGAGACGATAGGATTAGACATTAACTTTTTGTAGCAGCAACAGTTTCCATTTGATTTCGTGTCAAATAAACATTTTTTTCTGTGTTGCCTGTCTTCGAGCGTATTGTAAATACAACAGCTTTGTACTGTTTGGGATACTGATGATAATGATGACGATGATGATGACGATCATGATGATGATTATGATGATATGCAATCGAGACTCTTACAATTCATTACCATTTTTTGCAAGCTTTGTTACTGTTCTGCACTGCTAATCGACAAAATCATACGTTTTATATGACTTCAATCTGCATAAAACAGTTTTGAAAACAATTAAAGTCTTGAAATTTTCTTGGGCAATGATAAAAAAAGGGCAATGTCGATGACGACTGTAGTTTTACCAACATATCCAACAATCACGTTGGCTTGTTACCAGTGGACGGCCATTACTGCAGAGGGATTGAAGAAGAATGTTAAGAAAAAGTGGAGGAGGCAGATGCAACCGGAAACCATGCTTTGATTTAACTCTAACAGGATAGGTAAAATTGACAGTTGGTTAGAAGTTCTTTTTAATCGACAGGGCTCAAAAAGTTCAGGTAATCATAACACTGGTAGTGTTTACGAATAAAACTCTTCTATGGATTTTTTCAAACCAAGAAAGTAACCTTCACGAGGTCTGCTTGCATTTTCAGTGTTTTCTTTTGCTATTTATCCAACCTCAATCTTATTGCGGCCACTGGAAAACCAGATTCTTCTCTACTCATCTTCCACATCGGTTTGTCACCACAGCACATTTCTTTTTTTTTTTTTTTCAATCGATTGATCTCTTCCGTTTAGTCTAATACTATTTGCTGACTATAATCTTTTTTCTCATGCATTTGAATTAATTTTGTTTGATAACTTCCTTATTAGTTATCGTTTCAATGGCTTTTTTCAAGTTTGAAAAAGTTTCCTCATTTGGTGTCAGGCAAAAAATTTTTTATTTTGACATGCTATTAATGTATAAACCTTGAAATGGATATAATGAACTATAGTATTTGAGATAAAGGGAAAAAGATTAAGCTAGCTGTATTAAATTTTAAGCTTACTTTGGGTTTTAAAGTGGCTGCTCACTTTCATCAGATAATTTCTAGGAACAGTTTAAAAGCAACTATCATTTTTTGTTTCTACTCCTTTTTTTCTTTTTGCCTAAGAACGTATGACAATTAACATATAATTTGAGTATAATGTGAACAATGGTTTTTTTGCTGCCAGTTAAGGCAGACTCATTAAGTTGTTGAAAAAATTTATATGTTCAATGGAACAATAATTGAACTACAATATTTGAGCTATAAACGAAAAAAACAACTGCGCTAAGCTGGTCGGATCCGAGTGACAGATTAGAGCTGTTTGCTTTCGCAGTAAAATCAATAAATTCTGCTAATCTTTATTGATTGTTGAGGAACAAAACAAAAAATAAATAATTTATTTTTTTTTTTTACTGAAAGCCACAAATTAACTACTTTAGCAACAGTAACAGATGTTTGTTACTTGTAGTGTATTCGATGAATATATCAAGGGTTTTAATCATTTCTGACAGCTTTTTTTCTGATGCTTTTAACTCCGAAATGAAACACAATCATTAGTTCCCTTTCCCAGTTTATATACATATATTTATTTCTTCATCTATATGTCTTTCTATTCATTTATTTATATTTATATTTATATTTATATTTATATTTAT